AAACTTTGAATATGGTAAAAATACGGAGTTAATAAAATGTAAAAAGTATTAAAAATAGCTACGTATAAAAATTATTACGATGACCAAGCGGAACCAGACCAATGCCATACACGTGGAAAAACACTCACGGTCAAAAATATCATTTGTCACTGCCGAAACTACAAGTACCAAAATACCTGACAGCCTCAAAGAAGCATTAGGCACCGACCAAAACAGCGTGAACAACATTTTAAAATTCTTAAAACTATCAGAACTGTATGACCCAATTTGATTCGAATGTATTTTATTTTATTCCACAGTACTCTCCGTTTTTTGTAATGTTTAACATTGCAAAACGCCATATTATGTTAAGCGAATGTAAACATTCATTAGCCAATAATCTTGTTGGTGCAGCTTTTATAAAAAAATAAAATAAAAATTATTGCGAAAATATACTTATAAACAAAATAAATTATTATTGTCATTATTATTTTAATTATTTATTTTTTCATCAACGATATGATTATTAACTTATAGAAATATTTATAAATCTGATATTGTCTGCTTTCGTCGAAGGTGTTATGACTTCATGAAGTGTTTCTGGAAGTTAATGTTTGTATTTTAATTCAGCATATTATCAGAATTCAATATATAATATGTATTCAACTGTGTGGTTTATTAGAGGGTGGTTAATTATAATTTGGATTTTCTAGATAGCATGACAAGTTTTAGATTTGAACCACTCTAGGACGAGCTGATGGTCAAAAAATGTTTGTTCTCTTCAAGTTCATTATTTCGTATATACTTAGTAAACAATTGGTTTTGACTTTTAACAATGTGATTTAATTTTCTGTAATTGAGTAAATCATAATCCAATATGCGTGGGGCATTTAAAAATCTGGGCCAACTGTAGCTCATTTGTTTTTTTAATAATTTTTTCAATAACATTTGCTAAACATATGAATAATTGATAAAATATAAAAAAAGTACTAAAGTTATAAAATTATAATCGTCAAAACGTATACAATAAAATAACAATTATGGTAACCAACATAATGAAAATTATTTTTTTTTCAATTTATAATAAATATTGATATGTCTTAATATTATATTATTTTTGTTGTTTTTCCTTTGATATTGTATAAAAAATTGTAATGCAATATCAACAATCAGCTATGTGTCAAATGAATACCATTATTATTTTAATGTGCAGACAATTTATTTGATATTCAAATAATTGAGCGTGTTCTATTAAATTCAAATTACATAAAGCTAAAGTATCTTAGAGTTACAAATTTACGATGGACTTCAGAAAGTTTTTATACAAATTTGCATGTGACATCAATCAGTTTTCTATTTTATCCATTTTATTGTTAAATTAAAAAAGTTTCAAATTCGAATCATATCAAATTAATAAAAAATATGATATTGAGTACACAGTTTGAATTTATTGACTTATAGCTTTCATTATGAAATTGAAATAAGACATTTATATAAATTTAATCTATAATTTTCAAATATATAATATTTTAATATTGTACCGTTTCATATTGTTAACAGAGGACGGTGCATTAAATTATTTTTAAAACTGATTTTACTTAAAATTAAAAAATCATAGATTCTGACAACCATTAATTATTAGGCAATATACCAAATTAAGACACAAACACGGACTTTCAGAAACTCCACAAGAAATCTTCACACCTCCGACAAAGGAAATCAATACAGTTATTAAATATTCAAATTTATAAATGAAACTGATGTCAACTAATTTAATGTAATCACGAAGGATGTAAATGTAATAAAACTCTATCGCTAATAACCTCGACGCTGATGACAAACAAATAATATGTACCTATCACTTACTATTATTGTAATTTGTAAGCCATTAAAAAAAATTATAATTTTTATTACGTCCAAGGTTAGTATATACTGTATGTCACTGCATATAATATACTATTATAATATGATAAAGTATTTTTCATTTTAAATGGATATCTATAATTTATTTTTCATAAATATTTGTGATGTAAATGGAAATGATTTTTAATTATTGTATAATTGTGTAAAAATGTAAATATTTCTATATATAAATAAATAAAATGAATAACAATAGACGTCATTAGTTAATTAATATTTATGCTTTAACATTATTTTCATCGAAATCAATCTAAAACAAATTATATTCATTATTATATTAAAAATATATGATTTTAACTTGTAGGATGGATGGCTTATTTTGTACTAATTATACTAATTAATTATTTAACAGTTTGGTTTTATAAAGTATTAAGATTCCCAACTCAAAAACATTCCTTTTACAATAAATAAGATCCTTAAGTTCTAAATTTGTATCTATAGATGTAAAAAACATGTAATTAAAAAAATTTAATTTATGATATTGTGTCAAAAAAAAACCCAATTAGGTAACTTTAAGTTCTTTATACATTATAGTGCAATAAGAAATAAAATTAAACTTAGATTTCATTCAGTGAACATCTCTCATTTTCAGCAACTTATACAATAATAGTTAGGTAAAATATTATATTTTGTTTTCAATGAGAATTATTATTATCGTCTTCGAAAGTGTTTCCCAAAAGCCGAGCATTGTAATGGAATGTGAATGGAGTATTCTAATTTCTGTCATTTCTTGTTGTTCTTCTTAATATGAGTATGAAATTCTCACGAAACTGTGTTTTAATTTACCATTCAAATATCACACTATCATCACAATAGTGTTTAATTTATACACAGTACCTACCAATGTTTTCTATGTGTAATTAGTAAGGAGTCTATTTTTTATTAGCGAAGTACATGAACAGTATACGTAGATGAAAATTGTATAGAATATTTCGGTATGTTTTCACATATTATTACGAATATATACAAATCAAATATTATACTATACCTAGGTACTTATTTCAATAATCTATTACAATCACATTTTTAATTAAATAAACATGACATATTTTTTTAGTTATTTCATTCGATAAAAATTTTAAAAAACAATTTTGTGAAAACTAAACGGTCGTGTGCATAAAAAACAAAACGCATTTAAACCGCGATTGTTTTATACGAATAATTATTCAAACTTTTTTACGGAAATTCAAATATGTACTATAGGTCACTTTATAGGGGTGTTCCGTGTACAACAATCAATTATTCGTTTATAAATAATAATATGTAAATCGCTATAAATTTGATAGGGATTTGGAAAATCTCAACCGACAAAGGTCGTGGTTGTAAAACGATTATACTTTAGTGTAATCATTCCATTATGTGGTGGTGTATGCACAAAGGCTTTAATACAATGTGCGCGTACACCAATGCAAAAAAAAATTCTTTTGTTTTGAAACCTAGTTGATTTATAACGGTTAACCGGGGCGAAGAATTGAAAATAATGATGACCATTTTCGAGTGTAAGCACTTAAATAGCAACATATAATAATAAAGTCTTCAACGCTCCGTATTATATATTATTATCTAACGTGCTGTTGTGAATAGGTTGTAGTTATTTTGCATCGATACTATTAAACGTATATATATATATATATAAACAGACACTAAATAATATTATGTTGTGTTGATGATGTATAGTGAATATATATTACAAACGTCCATGTTTAGATTGGTTTTTTTTTTTTACTACTACCCTGTACTATCTAGCCCACGCTAAATCAGAGTCAACGAAACGGAAACAAATGGGCCCACGAGGGGAGCTCGTTGAATTCGTGGACATCCATCATCTAATAAAATAACGTTTCTCCGACATTTTATAGTAAATTAGGCTCGTGTATGTAATGAGTACCATTCATAGAGAGTTTACCATCCTCTAGGATTGCCGTAACGACGTAATGTTACATATACATATACACATTACACATATAATGTATAATAATATGACTTATAGTTTAAAAAGAAAATGATTGATTAGAAACATTTTTTTTAGTTAGAATGTTACACTTTTTAAATTTGAAAATAAATAATTCAATATGAAATAAATGTTATATGATGTACTGCCGGTACTAATAATACAATTGCTTATATACTTATAATAAACCTTGCAAAATGAATCGTTCCTAAAAGTTACTTATTTTATAACTACATGCATGTAATCAAATAGCAAAACATCCATTGTTCATCAACCATTAAATCACAAATTGCAAACAAAAATAATCAAATTTTCAATTAATAATAACTGAAATGTTTTGTAAAAATCTTATAGTACAATTACAGATAAAATTATGTTCGATAAAGCTACTATATTTAAAACCATCTGATGTGAACAAGGATTCACAGTAAACGCTTCAGTAAAAAATATATTTGGATATTTTAAAAGATATCTGTTAAGCTACTACCGAGATTCAATTGTATCACTCCAATTGAAATATAAATTATTTCCGTTATAAACATTATAATAATAAAAACAACTGTTTTTTTGTAAATATACATATTCTCAATTAAGTAAACTTAAAAAAAAACCTTATAATTTAATCGTATTTGATATTGAAATTGCTGATCACATACATCATATAATATGCATATTATAAATAAAAGAAAAAGAAAAAAAAACTTATACATTTTTAACACTTTAAAAATTTATAATGTATAGATATACGTATGAGTACCCAGCCGAGTACTTAACCTAACACAGCATTTTAAAATAAAATATATAACACATAAAAAAATGTAAATTTAAAATAATCGATCAAAAATGTATATATGTCTTCGAAGGATTATTATTATTACGTATTGTGTACTATAACAAAAATTATGTTTGTTAAAAATGGGTGCGTATGCCCTACCGTTATTTTGCAGTAAAATAACCTTTTTAAAGTACCATGTGTTTCCAATTACCAATATTTTCATAATCGAGCCCATATTATGAAACTTTTGGAACGCTTCGGCTGGGTTTTCTAACTATCGATAAAATGTGTAAGCAGCGACAAAATAAAACAATCATTATACGATGACGTATAGATGACGAAATCTAAAACAATACGATAGTATTTATTACTTACTTGAAATAGGTAAGAATGGCAATAGACAGCAGGAGCGCAATGAATGAAACTAAGTACCCGGTTTGATAAATGGTATTGATTTGTTGTGTCCACTGTAACATAAAACATAATATTATTATGAGGGATGTGTAACTATTAAAATTGTGTACAAATGACTATTTCCATTGCAGATGTGTATAATACCACACTTGGAACGAATATTGTTATGTATACTTAATAGTCAATATTATAAATGTATGTATAAATTAAAATAATTAAGATTCTATTTTTAAATTAGGCAATCACTCGACCGATTAACAAAAAAAAATAATTATTATCAATATAATTAAAATTATACGCCAAAACAATACTTTTACAAATATTTTATGATTTTTAATATTATGAATAATTTGTAATCGTGGGAATATTATAACGTACTATATGTATGTGATGTGATTTTCGTTAGGTGCATGTACAGTGACAAACGTCAATCTATACGAGGATAATTTGTTGAACTAATTAACAATTTGTATGTCACCGAGATTATGGAGTTCATGTCGTGGGCAACATTTATAAAAATGATTTTGCGAAAAAAAATTATGAACTACCTTTGTAACTAGATAATCCATTTAGAATATCCCCTCCCCCCTCCCCCAACATGATCAGTTGAATCATTAAAAGCTAGAATTTGAATAATGCAGCACTTATCCCGATTAATAAGAATGTTCCTGGCTCCTAGCCGAAGTCATAAATCATAATCGAGGTTCAATCGGACTCAACCATTAGTGATGGTACTCGAAAGCTTTTATATTCCAATTAAATATTAATGCAGACAACCAAATTCTAACGAAAACTGGTCGTCTCGCACCAGCTGTAGTACCTACAGCTTATATAATATAATGTGGTGAGCTTTTTGAAAGTCTGCCTTATCTAAGTCACATTATCCAATCACTGAGTAACCGTGACATAAAAACACATTTTTGGATTACCTTTATTATACGAGTACCTATGTATCTAGATTCTCGATGCTCATTTATTGCCGTTAATGTGTAAGCGACCAACGCAAAACCAAGCTAATCGTAAGTGAACAATTTCAAAATGTTCATTCCCCGTCACTTTATGGAACGTTCAACTTTTTCTCGGAAAAAAAAAGATTTTTTCAAACGTTTTTTATTTACGTCTTGTATAGCAATGGTCTTATGTGGACTATATTTTCTAGTAAAATATAGTTCGAGTTACAAAAGAAACATTGGTCAAGGGATCATTGGCGGTATAACTAGGGACGACGAATTGTATTGTCGTAACATTGCGTCTCTCATGTATGTCTAAGGTTTAGGCCCAATCGTACACTCAACAGGAATGGAATATCTTCCTGCGTTTAAGTTATGTATCTCTTGGGCATATCGGTTTTTAAATCTAAGGTAGTTTTTTAAAATATATGCGACGGTTGTGCTGACTACATCGCAGTTGGTATAAAGTACCCAGGTACCTCTACTATAAGTGTATAACTCTATATTTGTAAATCCAAAACCGCCACGATCATATAATATTATGTGGATCATCAAATATTTTTTGATATGTAAAGATACAATAAAAGTAATAATGCTTTCATAAAAGATGAAAAGCCATTATGAAAATTGTTTATAATACATATTATGCTTTTCAATGGAATGAAATGCTGCAGCCTAATGCGGAGGTGAACAATAAGCGAGATGATTGCCAACTGCTTTGTGTTCCCTATATGGTATATCCATATGTACCTATAAGTTAGTTTAACAATTTAGTGACCTTTCTCATTAGCTTTTTGTTTTAAAACTATTATTATGAGGTTTGAAAGAAAAATGTAAACTCAAACATAATATACAAGAGGGAGAGTCCTGGAGTTACAGGAGTTACTGTAGTATATACTGTATATTTTTATATGAAAAAATAAGTATATAAATTCCTGGAAGATTTTCAAAACATTGAACTTTTCAAAAATTAAATAATGGAAAGTTGACGTTCAAACCGTTATATTGTATCAATGATGAATAAAAGTTAAATTAGTTTTTAGATTGATACGAAGTAAATCGATTCGAAAAAATGACAATTGCATTTATTTCGTTCATTCAATGCGTTTGAACAAGCGATAAACAAATAGTTGACAGTGTATCTCTACTATTTGGTTTACAAACGTACCATATCGATTGTCCAGAAATGTTGGTATATATTTATAAGTTATAAAATGTACTGTGGTTATTGTTAAAGACGGAAGTTTTGTTCATAAAGACGACACGGGAAATTAATTTCATAAATCAGTTTGTTAATTTATAAACCTTTACATAGTGTAACCTACGTCTTGTTGGTTGTCGCGGTGTATAATAAATTGTGGAATATGCATTAAAATGATATAATTATTTCCCCGATTTAAATGGATGGCAGTTCTAGTAGTCTACCATGGTGGCGTAATTAGGTTTCGGTTCGATAAGTTTGATCCCGCCACGGTAGGACACCACCTTTGTTACGATCGGCATAAGTTCCTTCTTCGCTATAAATAACTAAAAGTAACTGGCTATAATGTAAAATTATTTATGAACCCGTGAGCTGTAGTTTATTTACTGAGAGGGAGGGGAGGGGGGGGGGGGTAAAAAGATCAAACAAAAAGCGTATTATTATATTATTATCTTTGGTGTTCTCTGGACAGAAATATCATCATATTTGACTATGGTGAATTAACCATGGTATTGAAAACATAAAATGTATAAATTAATAAAAACGTTTTGCTATTGTGCCTGTCAGTCGTCACGAGCTTTGGAAAACCACAACGATTTGTACTTTATATTTTAAACGTTTAAGAAGAATAAGTACCAACATGACGTATGAAAACCTCTATACCTACAATTATTTATTATTTATTATGTATTTGTATGAAAACTTACTCGAAAACATGTATGTTCTATTATAATAATGATGAATGTAATAAATATAATGTTATACGAGCTCATGAGTAATAATAAAATATATATCCGGCCTACATGGTGCACACACGATAATTTTGTCGTCCGTTTAAACTTATTCAGTAATTTTTGTTATACAACGAGTTGACAAAATATAATGATAAGCTGTTATATGGTGAAATCCGTTGGTCATCTGCAGAGCTGCTGTTTGTTCCAAAGTTAAATTTTCCATCGATCACTTAAGACATCATAATTTATGCATAAAATAATTTTGACGGTTTCATCACAGCGTTATAGTGTATCATAGTGATACAATCCCTTCTCCTATTCGTCCACACCAACTACTAGAACTCAATATAAATAATATTTTCACGTATACATCGTGACGTGTAGTAAATTATTATCGATTAATATTCGGTCTAAGGGCAAATTAGTAATATACTCTAAATACAGACGACAGTGGGTCATGGCGGTGTAATCATTATTTATCGTAAGGGGTGGAATAAGCTTTGGGCAACCGTATGTCGACAAGTTTATTTACTCCGTTACTGAAAATAAAATGCAATTTTTAAAATGAAAAAAAAAATTACAGAACATTAGTGTTTTACATCTTGTCAAGATGTGAAAGGTTTTGAAGGCACAATACGAGTTTTTTTTGTTAAATTATTAAACTAAAATTATTTAAATTGTCTATAGTTTATTATACACTATGAAGTATGTGAAGTAATGTAATACTTTCTAATAATTATCCATCTACTCACGTACTCGCAATATGTGCAAAACTTTTTTAGGGACCACTAATAATTCTGCATCATGGGTTAATTATAATGTACATGGGATTTGTGTTTGTTTTCTCATTATCTCTTTCTCTGTCACATACGCAAATTGTGCAGCAAACAAGAAAATAATGGTACAAACTTCGTAACATAATTATTAGTGTAGCGCATATAGTTAGTGAACGATGTGGTCGACAATTTTTTTTTAAAATAATGATTTTGAAACGTTTGGAAAACTCACGATATTCGTCGTGTGAAGCATTCGTAAGTACTATACAACATGATAATATTATAGATTCGGGAATCATTACATTATTTTAAACATTAATATACCGTGATACGCGTACACTTATCGGTCGTCGAATGGCAAATTTAAATGGCAACGATTTCGGTGACTGGTGTCCATGATTACAGTTAAAACTAAAAACCTATACATTAGTAAACCAACATTTTTAAAACTCCAATCATTAAATTTAAACAAAAATGGTTGAAAAAATGGAAGTTTTTCTGCTAAGCCGAGGTCGATATAATCATTGTTGGGTTCGATTTATTGTTATTATATACGGGGATTTATCGGTGGAAACGCGACGACGATGATGATGCTGATGATAATATTGTAATCTGTGAAGTGTATTCGTTGGACCTCGCCACCTCGGTGTTGGAGATTATAACAGTGAGTGGGTATTTCAAATTCAATATAAAACCGAATATAATTATTAATAAATAATAATGTGTAGGTACGTATTATGGCTATACATAACACTTGACCTGGTATTCACGCAGAAATGTCGCACATTTTTTAAATTATTATTTCAACTCTATAATTGATTTTGTTTCGATTGAATAACATTGTAATAATACTGTTGGCGTCTTAATGAAATATATAAACACATTTAATTTAATTGTAACCAATGACCTCTGCAGCCGATTTAATTAAGAACAATAAAAAAACACATATTATGATTGATAACAATGTATAAATATAATATGCCGAATAAAATTCGTTTAACATTCAACACCCATTGTTTTAAAAATAATTGAACTTTTTTCAGTGTAGTACTTTAAAAATTAAAGTTCAAAATTGGTTCAAAATTGGGTACTTCTCATAGAGTGAGACAGTTCACTACAGTTGTACAGTTTATGGCGGTATCCGAACAATGGCGCAATTATTGTGAAGTTGGTCGATTTTGTACTTCTGAATCACCATGGACGGCTTTGAACTTCTAGTGAATTTTACTACAATATGTGAAATTATTTTTGAGTCTAGAAATCATCTAATATTATTATATCGGTATACCTACAATCACAATATACGATTATGGATGGATTAATTAATAACATTTTTTTACCGATTTATACTTTTAGGAAAATAGAATTAGTACATTGTATACTTAGAGATGC